CCAAATATTAAAGAATGCAATTATAAGAACGCCAGCATAAGGTAGGAAGCTAATAATTTCTAGGCCTTCAAATTATTTGACATTGGGCCTAGAAATTTTAGTTTTTAATTAAAATTCTAGGAGTACTTACAAAAATACCCTTAAAATTAGAGATATTTTGAAAAATCATGTGAAATGTTTTTAGGAAGTAAAAAATACAGTGTAAAATGAAAAAAGTGACGCAATGTTACTTTTTTTATAAAAATTGTCACTCTTTTACTTTTTTTTAAAAAAATGACACAAACTAAAAAAAGTGACAAAACTAAAAAAAAGTGACTCAAAAAGTGAGACAAACTCAAAAAAGTGACACAAACTTAAAAAAAGTGACAAATAACAAAATAGCACAATCCATTCGTGCAGCACCAGTAATCATGTTCTTAAAATAATTAGCACGTTCAGGCAAATCCACGTGCTGATTATGTTAGGAAAATATAACATATTATTTCATTTTTTTATCTTCTTAAAAAGTGATAAAAGCTTAAAAGGTGACAAAATTTAAAAAAGTGACACAATGTCACTTTTATAAAATTGAAGAGCAACTTTGGCATCCCTGGATGGTACTGCAGAAAATAAGTAAGTGACACAATCTCACTTTTACAAAAAAATGATTTTGTTAGTCAAAAAATGACAAACAATAAAAAAATATGATAGAAAAAAGTGGAAAACACTAAAAAAGTGACATGAATTCAAAAAAAGTGACAACAAGTTTTTAAAAACTGCAAACATGCGTAAAAGTGACAAAACATTAATCGAAAACATTCGAAAAAGTGACAAAACACCAATCGAAAAAGTGACAAACCATTCATTCACCACTCTTCTTCTCACAAAATCTTACAAACAATCATAACCCACAATTTTAGGAATCAACTAGCAGGAAAAGAGTTACAAATTGAAAATTTCCAAATGGAATGCATTGAAAAGCAAACTAGAAGTTCAAAGGGCAATTCCCAAATCTCATCACAAGATGCTGCTTCCCAGTAGTCTTTTAGTGTGACTTCACATACTCTTGAACGATGTGGAGACCTTCAGTTTCCTTTCCATAATCCTGCAAATAGATATTAAATAAAGGTCACAACTTTGAGAAAGTAGGTATCAAATGAATTGATAACCACAAAAGTCATGACTCTGGTTATTTGGTTATACTACCTTCACGACAACACACGAGGCACCCACAACCTTCCTTGCTTTCCCTTCGGAATCAATCTTGCACAACTGTAAAACACCATTTAACACTAAAGTCAAATAATAGCATATATATCTTTTACTCAATAGTGTTGACAACATGCTCAAGAGGATATTCTGTCATAACCATTGTCATAATTCACTCAACAGTGATCACCAGCACGATTCTAAGCATACATATCATTTAAACAAGCACACCCATGTAGCTGATGATGCCAAGAATATGGAAAATTTTACTTACACCAGCCCATTCACCAAGAGTCTTTGCACTTGGAACGGTGATGAGGTTTACATTGTGGTCAGCATAGAGTGATTTAACCAATTTGACATAGTCAGGATGGTCACAGTCCTCTGCCAACACACACATCTGAGCTGCGTGCTTCTCAATCACCTTAGCACCTTCATGAAGGCCACGGTTAAGCCCCCCATGAGCCAACGATTTTCTCAGCACAAGCTGCAAGGCAGTCATGATGTCCATTGGATCACCAAGAGCAGGTGCAGCGGGTGTCTCTACAACAGCAGCTTCCTCACTGCAATGCAACAAATTGAGAAAAACAGATAATTGTTAGCACAGCAAAGACTATTTCCTCCATGAGCCCATGATTTTCCTATGAAAGAAGTCAGATTTACATACCCAGACATTTTTTGCTCTTTCTTCAGTTGGCACGTGAGATTCCTTTAAATTAGATCTGTCATGTGTCAATAGAGATCACAACAACAATCATATACAGAATAACAACAATTTAAGCAAAACCATAAACAACCGCATCAAATTTCAAGAGAAATGTTGTCAAAAATCAATGTTGCTAGAGGAAGATTACCAACAAGAAACAGCAAATTTGGAAAAATAAATAAATTATAAGGAGTTCAGTTGAAATTAAATCATTCACCACAATCAGATCGAGTGCAATTTTCAACATATAAAGCCCGTATTTACTTACACTAATATAATCCGATACTACCTGCAACACAAGACAAATTGGTTCAAAGATTTGATGAATAGTCCCCTCTGTCTCCCTCTCCCCCAATTTTCAGCATAATATACAAAGGACGAAACCCTTAGCCGCTTTGCCCTCTAAGACGTAAACAGGAATGGTAGTAGCAAAAATAATGGAGAAGAAAAAACATCTAAAGTTGCTAAATTTCGGGAATCTTCCGAGGAGCCTGGTGATGTTGAAGGATGTGGCGATCGTGGTAAAGATGAAGCAAGAGAGAAATATTAGAGTGACAGAGACGAGACTTGGGAAGAAATCATCTTTTATAACGTATTAATTACGTTTTAAAGGATTTAATTAATTAAAAGGGTATAAATCAAATTGGTCAATTTTTTAGGGTACGGGGCCTAATTTTCCCTTAAAAAAAAGGAACCAGCCAAACTGGAGGAACGGGTGTTAGGTCCCCACTTTGCTATTGGATCTTGCCTTTGACCGAGCTTTTTTCCGTTATTAGTTTAAAGGGTTTTAAGTCATAACAGAATTGGTTTACTGGCCGGTTCTCGAGTTTCTCGGTTAAATCGATCTATCCAATTTGATTTTGACAATATTGGTTATAAGAGTTCAATGAGTCCTATTGGACAACTCTATTTATTTGACATCAATTAATTTCTATTAAATAAAAACTGCGTGCATACAAATCATAAAAGCCTTATAAAAATTACAATAATTTTATTGAATTATGAATTGAAGTTCTGATTCTTCTTGGACTATATAAATCCCTATTTTCTTGAAAGAAAAAAAAAACACACTGAAATCATTCTTTAAATTTTGCAATTTAAAAAAAAATAATAATAATATTGTTCTGTTATCTTTGAGATATTTTTCTAGTGCATTACTGAAATCTCTAAAAATCGTTTATAATTGCTACACAAATTATTCGACCATTGTATTCTCAGAGTAATTATCAAAAAAGGTCGAAGCAATTTACAGTCGACAATTTCACTTTAGGATATCATGGTGTCCTAAGCCTAAATTGATAAGTTTTCTTCTCCGTATTTTCTTGTTCTGTAATAGTATTTGTAACTAATTTTTCTCAAACACTAATTGCAATGCATTGCGTGGGATTTTGACTTGGATTGGAACAAGAATTTGTTAAAATTTAATTCAGAAAATGATGCAGGGGAAGTTTATAGGAAAGATAAAAATCTCACAAAAAAGAATTTCAATCAAGAGAAATTTAAGAAAAAACTTTATTTCATTCAAAACTGAGCTGCCTCAAAAGGCTTACAACGTTTAAATAGCGAAACCCTAATAAAATTCGGAAAGAAATTACATAATAATAAAAAATATTATTTTTTCCAAAAATGGAAAAAATTGAGATAATCACGGATCTTGATTCTTCTAATCATCAGGATCGTCCCCCAACAAACGGAAATCAAATCCGAGTTTATTTGACTAAGATATTGCCAAAACAAAAATTACCATAAACGGCAAAAACGCATAATTGAGGGTCTAAACGATGGAATTTGCCCAAAATTTGACGTGCTTCAGGGCCATAGGCCCTGAGTTATGATCATTGGCCCGTTTCCACTCAAATTAGACTAGCAATTCGCCAAAAACGAACAAACTCAAAATTAAATTGAGCTATTATTTTGCCTTCATCAGAAAACTTACAATTATGCCTTATTTTATGCTTCTCAAGGTTTCAAAGAAAAAGACCTCTTCTAAACTCATGTTAGTGAGATCATGACTGGCCCTTGACATCAATTAACAATCATATTTTGTTTTATTTATATTCTATCTTTATCCTTTTTTTGCTTGGATACAAAATCTTGAGACAGATCAGAATATGAGTAGAATGGGTGCAAGGCGTATATATGGCTGGCAGCATAATATCTTTCCTCATTGGCATCATTCAATTTCAAAAATCATATTACTCTCTGTGGGGTCCACTATCTCTTTCTTTTTCTAACAAAAAAGATTTTTCTAGAAAAGATAACGGACATGGTCCCCTAAATTATCTATCATCTTTAACATTGTTCAATATATCGTACATTAAGCTTGATTATTTATTTCACACATGAGGTCTTTTATATCGAATTTTGAGTGGAACTTATCTACCGACACAAATAGGGTCATGATCCCTATCTAAATCCCAATCTATAGTTGAGAACTCCCATCCCAAACTTGCTTTTTTTTTTCCTTTTTTTTTTTTTTTTTACTTATTGAATATATTTTTGAAATTTCGACATATCATATTTTCTTAATAAATGGAAAGATGCAATTTTATAATATGTCGAGGTGTTGAAAAGTCTATTTGCTTGAGATAATGTGTCCATGTATAAAAATATATTAAAGAAAATAATTTAAGGGAACAACATATTTGAGACAACTCACATTATGGTGGTCCATATATAATGTCATGGAAGTATATCTGTGATCATTTCTTTTTATTTTTTATTACCATTTCAAATGAGAAAGTTACTACCCAACCAAAAGTGGGCTCCAATCAAGCATGAGACTTCAATGAGTTAGGAAGTAACAATTATGACTTCATAAGCAACTACTTTTTTGCAAAAATTAATACATGTTTATTAGACAACAAGCAAGTAGTAAAAAAAACTATATGACAATGTTCAAAGTCATTTCAAATCTTAATTAACAGATGCGACATAAATTTATTTATTTTATTTGATCTTAACTGTATATAATTGAATCTTTCATTAGAAAACATAAACAAATTTGATGTAGATAGCATAAAAATAAATACGATATGTAGTTTAAACTACTGGATGGACAAATTAGGTAGAACTGATGTAAAGAGAAACTGTTAGAAAAAGTGAAATGAGAGAGAATCTTAAAGGGGGAAAATCTAGAAAAGGTGGGTGCTTGATACAAGGGAAAAATGATTGACAAATATCTATTTACAACCAACAAATTTGTTTCTCCAAAGCCCCTTATCTTGCACATTTCTCTCTCTCTCTTCCCCCAAATCCTATCTGTTCACAAAACAGGAGAGAGAAAGAGAGGTAGAGAAGATCAAGAAAGAGTTTTTATTTTATTTTTTTGTTACCATGGCATTTGCAGGAACAACCCAGAAATGCATGGCATGTGAGAAGACTGTGTATTTGGTTGACAAGTTAACTGCAGATAATAGAGTCTACCACAAGGCCTGTTTTAGATGCCATCACTGCAAAGGCACCCTCAAGGTTAGTTTGAACTGAAATTCTTAGCTATATTTGGCTGCAAAAATTCATTTCTTGATTCTGATTTTATGAAATTTTATCATGATCTCTCTTTTTATAATGGATCTTTGATTCTGAGTTTGGCCTTCAACTATAGATTCTTGATTGAATATATTTTGATTTTAGTCTGGATATTAAAGACTAAATTTGAATGAATGAATCAATAGCTTAATCTTTTAAATGAACTAATTTTCCATGATATTAAAGTTGAAAAATGTTTAGAATTCAAGTTTTGTCCCCATTTCATTCATGAAAATTGTCCACATATTGATAAAAAAATAATCTAGTGTACACGTCGTCGTGCGCTGAAGTCCATATGCACGTTGTGTTTGTTTAATCTTTTAGATGAGGTGGTGGTTCAATGTAGAAAGATTTTTTTATTTATTTGGACCAACATTTCAGATCTGGATTGCATCAATATTATATAAGACCAATTTTTCCAGCTTGATATTTTTCTTCTTTTGGTATTTTTTTTTTTTTTTTTTTTT